TTCTCTGATACTATGACATCCAGATGTAGCATCAGACTCCACACTTGACCTGGTTACTTTATTGGATCAGAAGCTCGTCGAGCGTGTTACACGGTGCTTTTATTCTTTGTTTGATCAATCCAAGATATGGCTACGCTACTCGAATTTCGACGAATTCCGGTAGACGTCGCGGGCGATTGTTTTTTACAAACTATGAGCGGTATTGCAGCATTCCAGCGATTCGGCCTTTTTGTGCGCTTTGCTACTTTGCGTGGTGCTTTTGCGTAAAGCGTAGGAAAAGCTGAACGGTCCTATGGCTCTAATCTGTATTGCAAACGTTGCCGCCCCACCGCGACTTTACCTTAGCACCAGTGTCAAATTTCATGAGCACTTCACCATACGTGCCCGCTTACTGTCCAGCTTCCGGAACTCATTATTTTCTTAACTAGAACTTCCTTGCGCACCTCAACTCTTTACAGTTCTAGCTTTCAGAGATGTCATACAGCACAACTCACCCTGGAGGACGCGCACCACTGGGTGGTCGTCAATCTAGTAGCGTTGTAGGTTTGTGGACCTTTTATTTGTCTCCATGTACAAAATCGTACTCTTCTTACTTCAGCACAAGACCGTACATTGAAAATTGTCACCGAAATGAGATCCGGCGTAGGTTCCGGAATGTCACCATTCGGACAAAATGCTGCGAGTGCGATCCGGGACACTCGCGAACGCGAGAAGAAGGAAATGAGCGACTTGAACGATCGCTTGGCTAGCTATATCGAAAAGGTGAACTGTTTAGGAATGGTTTGCATGATCACAGCCTGCATTACACATTATGCCATAACTTAGGAATACCAAGCTTATATTGGTGCAACCATGATTGCAGGTTCATGAATCTATTAGAAAGGAATGTCACATTGTTTTAGGTCCGCTTTTTGGAAGCACAGAATCGCAAGCTAGCCGCTGATCTTGAATTACTCCGAAGTAAATGGGGAAAGGACACACATAGTATCCGAACTATGTATGAAGGCGAACTCTCGGTTGGTTCTGCATACGTTCAAAAAGGGTTTGATCTAAATAGCTCCAAAAGGTATATGCATAAAGGGCAGAGAGATCCAGTTAGTAATGGTCGGTTCTTGACAAACTGCTATCTGCTCAGCTTTCGCACCCTTTACTAGATGTGTTATGCGTCTAAGGACAACAGGGCCGCGCAATGCAATTATACCATTGTGCTCGGGCTGGCTTTCCAGCTATAATATGCCTACAGATAACAGTCATAGCTCCCA